CTTGAATATTCTATGCGGTGGCCTCGCCCAGGCCTTGCACAACGACTTACAATCTCGCACCGACTCTATAATTATGCACGGGGGATGGGACGTGTACGAACGCTTCTTTCTCTCTCTCTCCCCCTCCCCCCTCTCTCTCTCTCTTTCTCTCTCTCTTTGTAGCAACACGTAAAGGAGCAACTAGGATCGTCGCTGAGAAAGAATGCACGAGGCTTAGTATCGAAATTAATATGAGTCTTTAGAGTGACGCGGCTTTTTCCCCCAACTGAAATTACGCGTATTGCGAATTTTCATGAAAGAGCATAATTTTCGCGATCGCGTAATCGACGTGTTTACGGCGATTAATTTGAAATGAAATTTACATGGAACAATACGGTGATTATCGATGGAAGGACATCTGCGATCGTTGTCGCTGACGATGGAAGACGTTGCACGCTCGACTGATATAACTATGCTGAGTGAAAGTTAGTCATAGAGAATTACGCCAAGAGAGTGAAGCTAGTGAAATATATAAAAAAAAAAAAAAAAAAAAAAAAAAGAAAAGTAGTCTCGCGTCTAGTAAGAACTTTGAAACGAATATTGTCCGTGCATCTGTGAGAAGAAATCGTGAGCTCGTGGTACATCACGCAATACGTAGAGGTACGTGTTCGTATCCTCGACTAATGGCATTAAGCGCAAGATACGTAAGTATCTCGTAGGTATGTATACGTACATTTTACGTATACATATCTATCGAACCTCGATATATTCCTGTTCTTGCGTAATCTCAACGCTGTCTCGTTTTTCTAGTCCTATTTGTCTTTCTCTCTCCCTCTGTGAATTTCTCTCTTTTTATCTTTCTCTCTCTCTTTCACTCGCACACACTAGTCCTTCTCCAACCTTTTTTTTTTTTTTTTCCCAAAAATACTGCTCGAGTTTTATTCAACAGCAAATTCTCTCTCAACATCGACACTCCATTGCCGTTTCTTTTATTATCCCGATCTCGAGTATGTCCTTTTGTTCGAGGCCGAGCACGATCTCAACGATCTATCGACGACCAAGCTAATTAGTAATTATCGATCGAAAGGATCGATGTGTGTGTTTATGTATCCGTACATCGACGAACCTCGAGAAATGTCGAACGATTTCTCTTGGAACCCGGAAAAGCCTTCTTCTCCTTCCCATCTCTTCTCCGGACGAATTTACAACGGTCCTATTGTTCGGTCTTTAAAACAATTCACGTATCGTTTTATTTTACGTAATTTGCTGTTCCCCTTTCCTTATGCCCCGTCGCCCACATTGACGGCTCGTCGTCGATCACTCTCCTCGCGACATATCGTTCGTATTTAACGACTCCTCGACAGAGGAGGTCTTTGTAATTTCCCGCGAGACGATTCGAATCCCAGTGCGCGTGCCGCCATAATACCCCTACATACATACATACATACATACATACATATGTATATGCATACTACGCCTGCGTACTACTCGCTTTGATGATTGTAACGTTACTTTCTCTCGATCCGCTAACTTATCCTTCTTTATATCGCGCAAATTATAATTCGAAAAATAGGGCACACGTCGTCGATGTTCTTTGCAAAACTTCCGTCATAGCCTTTTATATTTTTCATTGGCTCGAAATATCGTCGAACAATACGCCACTCGTCGTCCCACACACGCCATCGTGGAGAACGCGCGAATTTTCAAAAGCTTGCTCCGATGAATCTAATTTATCGCGAGTAATACATTCGCTCGTTCTCTCTYTCTCTCTTTCTCTCTCTTTCTTTCTTTCTCCTTTCTTGATATTCTTTCACTCTTGGAAGAAAGAGCACGTAGTAGACGTTCGACAAGAAATTAAGGTTCGCAAGTCGCGTGCTTTTGTGGGCGTAATTGCTGCAACATACGCGCGCGCGCATATATGCTTTGATTATCGCGCACGAAGAAACAAAACGTGACCATACATGTGCCGAGTTAACGGTAAACGTCTTGAGAATGCCGTAGCTTATTAATCGTTTCGACTTTGAATTAATGCCACACGGCCTGGTGTCGCGTGGAGAGTTCTTCACGGGTAGACCAAGCTGTGTCGGGCCTTTATAATTCTAACAGCTATCTCTCTCTCTCTCTCTCTCTCTATTTCCCTTTTATTTGCTTTACTTTTTCAACATGAGATAACACACGCCTTACGATTTGACGATTCTTATCTCCGCGTCAAAGACGGTAAGAAACCAGACGCCTCTCTTTCTTCTTGTCTCTCCCCTTCTATCTGAGAAACCCATAGGGCCTTTCCATAATTACACTCCGTTTGCGGAAACATCGTGCGTTATCGTAAATGTAATTAACTCGAGTGTCATTATGGCGCCAGCTACGATATCGTGCGAACGATCCACGAGGCAATAGCTAATGTGCGCCTTATTAACGATCTCGGTGTGATATGCAAATCAAAGTATCCGATTACGAGGATAACAAATAAATGATTTCTTTTGAATTGCAAGAAAATTTGTAAAGGCAGAGGAAACAACACAACTATGTAGTTTCTACGATAGGATATTCTCGAGCCGTTAAAACGACTTATACTGTAGATATTCCAGCTTCATCTTTATTCTCGGATGAGATGTTGAGCCGTGCGCAAAAAAAAGTAGAGACAAGATCTCGTGGAATGAGAAAGTGCGTACGCGCGAGTGCCGATCGCATAATTGCATGAAATTGGTCGTGGTAAAATAATTGACTTACAACGTATTTGCTCACATTCTTTTGCGACAAAGAGAAAGATATTGGCGCTATAGCATCTCCCCTAGCCAAAGAAAAAGATGTTCTAAGAGAAGGGATGGGATAAGAGAAAAAGGAACAAATAAATGAGGAGAGAGGACGCGAATGCTTGGAACAGTGCGAGGAACGCGGCATCCGGTGCATTTATTCGTAGCTAAGCTACGTATCTGCCAAGTGTACACACACTCTCTCTCTCTCTCTCTCTCTCTCTTTCTAACATTGCTTTTAATTAGGCATCAAGATAGAACGCACGCGATCCATAATTCGATATACACCACTTTTCTGTCTCTCGCAGCCAAAGGGAACAAACACTTAATGAATAATTATTCATTTTGCGACCGGACGAAGGACTATTTCCAGGGAGATTCCTCCGTAACGAATCATTTCGCCTAATAATTAGCTACTTCAGTCGAAAGACAGAAAAGATCCTTTCAATTTCATTAACGCGAGCGCAAAACACGTTTATTATTTTGCATTAACCTTTTTTCGCGGAAACATTAATAAGCAAATAAACGCTCGGCCCATTCTGTCGTTGGTTTCTTTCCGCTCGAGAGACCCCGATTGTCTCGAGAAAGCAAGCCGTTCGATTCTCTTGTCGCGCCGTGCCGCAAACAAAAAAAACCTCATTCATTGCAACGAGAAAAACAATTAAAGAAGTTATATCCGTTGAGGCGAAAAACCTTTGCTTTTCGTGCCCCACCTTCCCCCCTTATTCTATTGATGTGCGTGTTTGCGTTGTACACGCATACTCATGACACACCCAAGCAAAAGTCACCGCAAAGCTGACTAGGAAACGTATCGTTTCAAAACCCTCTCTAGTTCTCCTTTGCTATGGGATACTAGGCCCTATCTATCCTAACCAACATATTTACTGATGTGTCACCTACCTCCGAGCTCGGGCACGATTTGTGCGCCATTCCTTTGGATGCTTTGCGATAAGCACTAGACTCTACGGCTTAAGATTTTCTTCGTAGAAGAACTTTGTAGCATCTCTTTGGGCCCGAGTACCTGCGGATAAACGAGCCAACGCTCGGAACAAGAATGGATGGTACGCATAGCGACACGTGTGCGTGTGCGTGTGCGTATGTTGTGTATGTGTGCATGAGCGGGAGTTGTGCGTCCTGCTCGCGCGCGCAATCGAGTACGTGTGAGTGCTCGCGTATAATTGCAAGCAGGTGCCACATTAATCTTGCGGCCACCGTAACCCATTTTCCTCATTCTTCTATTCGATCTCCTATAACCGCGCCGCAAATAATAAGAAATAACGCAGAAAGAGAGAGAAAAGAGTGATGTATATATAACTCATTACTTTGTAATCAACCAGTTTATTTTCTCGTAGACAATTTCGAATTCGTAAACTTGTCTCTTCGATTTACTTTCATCGATCCCATCATTCGTTAAAACTTCCGAAAGACTTATTTTGAAAAAGTTTTCTAATTGAAAAGTTTTCTTCCTTCTTCTCTCCAAATCGATTCTTCGCGAACGACTTTTTCTTCTGCCTTCCACCCTCCCCCCCCCTCTCTCTCTCTCTCTCTCTTTGATTCTTGTTTCCACTCGAGAGCTAAGTTTGGCGTGATTCACGAGCGGATACATCAACGGAACGATATAAACCATAAAAAAGAAGGAAAGAAGGGGGCAGAGGAGGAGAGTCATCGTGATGCGTCGTAAGAGTCTCTCGACGGACTCGTTGAGCCGAGGCAAATCGAGCGAAAGGGTGAAAGAGATGGAGGAGAAGGAAGAGAAGGAGAAGAAGGTACGAAGGACGTGCAAGGTGCCATGAATGCCACTTAGAGGATTATTAACGAGCGACCGATGCTTAGGCCGGCCAATGGCGATGGCAATGGGGATGTGCTTTCAGGCTATTCGAAATTCTTAGCTACGCAAAGGCTGTTTAACGACGAGCAAGTAGAGATTTACGTTGAGATCCTAGAGGCGAGCCCTTTCGCGCAAAGTGGGCGGGCATAATCGTTGATAAACCTTTCGAGGACCTCTTGACATCGAACAACGTCGATGTTAAAAAAAAAAAAAAAAAATAGAGAAGTCCTGAGATATTCAGACTTGGAAGAAAAGTCGATTCTCTTGTTTGTCAAATTTTTCAACAAATTTCCTATTCGAGAGAAAGATCGTAGCGATATATTCTTCTTGTTCATATTTACCTTTTTAAGAATCTTATCTCTTGTTTTTCAAACGCTAACAGATTACGAATGAGACTCTAAATCTAATAAATCCTACAATGTCTTTTCTTTCTGTTGCAGCCAGAAACTGTGCCACAAGCGCGAATCGACATGACACGAGTGCTGGAGGTGGCAGCTGCGGAGGACATCACTGGGCATCCTTACAGCCTGGCCGTGACCTCCCCCGAAGGTGTCACCTTTGTTAAGGGCACGTGTCGAGAGGAAACGAGATGGTGGGCTGACGTTCTCCAAGTCTATTCGCGAAACAAAGTAAGTTGAGTATCTTTCTCTACTTGTAAAAGATAATATGAATTAACCTACCATAAATGCGTGGCTTCCCTTCACCGAGCTTACTGTACGTTCCTCGATCCATCCATAGTTCATTTATCGATCAATCATCTCCTTCGAAGCGTTTAGGATCCTGTTGGCGGTTACATTGTTGGAAGGTTTACGACCGTGCGCATATCGATTCTGTTACGCAAGGAATGATCGATCGAGTAAATGGAAACACCTCGTCATCGCGAACCTGCCGTTGGAAATGCGCGAACGAACGATCGCATATGTTAGGAGGCCAAGGCGATGCGTACGTGATATCTCCTGCCGAGAGACCACCTACCTATACATACATATATACATATACACACACCTACCTATATATTGTTATTGTACATTCATACACACTCGGGCGCGTAGAAGAGGTGAACGTACACAGGAAATGCGAGGGTTCCTGTGAATTTTTTTCTCCCTCTTTAGTCCATGAATTTTTTCATTTTTATTTTTTTTTATTTTCCGCCTTCTTTTTACCTGTCCTTCGTTGTAGATTGCTATCTACATAATAGCAATCGTAAAAGTAGCTACTTTCAGGAATAACACGCTTTTCCTCTTGAGAACAATAAAATTACACGGGGATTTTTCAGAATGCATCACTAAAATATCGGTAAAAGTAAGCGAGAAAGAAAAAAGAAAAACAGAGGGAGAGATAAATTTCTGGACGAGATCGATTTGCATCGAAGGACACTCCTAGTGGTGATTTTGATTCGTTTGGACGGTCTCTCAAGATTATTGATACACGACATCGAGCTCGGCTTGCTTGCTCGTAGATTTCTAACCGACTCGGTCATTTACGTACGTTCGAGATTATTGCTTCGGACACACGTCGGTGTTCTTATGAATTATGCACGCGGCGAGGGCTACACCTTCGTAGAACATTATCAATGTTATTGCTTATCTGCCATTATTACGACTGCCTACAATAGACTTCTCTCTCTCTCTCTCTCTTTCTCTTTCGCTATCCTATGTTCTTCCCCGAGAGAGAAGACCTCACCTACGTAGAAATACTAGAACATTGGATCTATAGGAGCGTAGGATCTATTGGCAAGATGATTCGAATTGAATTTTTCAGGGTCGACACAAGAGAAATGCAACATTTCCTGGCAGCCAGACGACGATCCTTCAAGTTACACCGAACATTCGAAGTGAGTCGATTTGTCATTCGTTAAAGCTAAAATCTTATCAACGTTTTATTTCCAATGGGTTTTTCTTTGAAGGTAACACACCGAATCCGCCTCGGCCTCGGTTCAATAGCTGTCGATCAGAACCTCGAAGCAATGCCATTTGGATTTCAGAGACGACGGGGGTTGGTGGCTCTTCGGAGCTCTGTTCTCCCGTATTTTCATCGACGCCTTCTTTGATTACCACCAGTGTGGTGACAATGACGAGTTGTTCGACAAATTCTTTGCTAAGCAACGGTAACGTAGACAGCAGCAACGTTTCGCCGTTACGAAGCAGTACTCCTTTGGAGAACGGTACGAATGGCCCTTATTTGACATCGTCATCGTCGTCATCGTCGTCATCGTCATCATCATCATCTTCATCGTCATCGTCATCATCATCGTCATCGTCATCGTCGTCTGCGGCGGTAACAACGTCAGTTTCCATCAACGGAAACGTCATAGTCGTGAGCACGGCTTATACGACGACACCAACGAGTACCGTCGTCGTTTCCTCCTTGAATACGACGATTTCGAGCACTTTGTCGAATAGTTCTACTATCACGTTAACAGAGAAACCACCAATGATACCCAACGATGGTAAAACAACCTATAGGGATCAACCCGCCAGTGGATCCTCTCCACCTACCAGAGACAAATTGTGTGCCGAAGACAAGGCTAGACGCAGGTCGAATCATCAACAAGGAGAAAATGGATCCAGCGAGAAATTAGGTTGGTTTTGAACATTCGTTATATATCAGAAAAATGTTGTGTACTTGATATTAATCGATAGATATTCATTCATAGACGACGATGCTTGTCGAAGAATATTCTTAGAACACGAGAGAGAACGGGAAGGTAAATTGCGGGACATTGCCGCGTCGTTGACTCAACCACGAGTTCGCAGGATCAAGCCTAGAACTTCAGAACCGACGAGGGACGTCGTAGATGCCGCTAATGCGGTACATCGAGACAAACTTGTGAGTACTGTTCGATGCGTAATTAATTGGTAATCTAAAGAAATACTTTTTATCGATCTTTACTAATCACAGGTAAGAGGCGACCCCGACGGTTGTGGATTAGATATTTCGACCATTAGGTATTCACCAACCTCCGAATTAAGGGTCGATTTACCAGCAGAAAATGTACTAAACATTAAGAAAGGTTGGCTAATGAAGCAAGGTTTAAATAAGGTGAATATTTTCACAGGTTTGAGAAGAAAGATTTAATTGAAAGTATACGATCGATTTTTCTTGTTAGGAATGGAACAAGCATTGGTTTGTTTTACGAGGTTGTGGCCTAATGTACTATAGAGATCCTTGCGCGGAGGACAAGGGCATCATGGATGGCGTTATAGACTTGAATACCGTTACTGCGGTTACGCCGTTGCAGGTTGCAAGAAATTATGGATTTCAAACCGTGGTAAGATGCAACAGGAAAATTATACCCGAGCGGTGCTTCGGAATTACTTTTTCTTAATTCGTATAGAAAGATCGTAAAGATCTTTAACGTCGGCTCGTATAAGAGAATGATGTTTGACATTTCTTCGCTATAACTCGTGATTTTCTTCCTAATACAGGCCTGGGATGAAAGAGGTAGCACCGTTCTATCCGCTGTGACAGCCGGCATTAGATCCAGCTGGATGTCGGCTATCAGAAGAGCAGCTAATTTACCCGATCCCGATAACAATGGGGAATCCCTGCCAATATGTTCGGACAATCAACAGGATACTAATCCTCAATCACCTACAACGTAAGCGATGTGATAAGTGTCTCTTCTTCTTTTTTTTTTTTTTTTCACCAATTGTTGTTCTCTAACAGCATGTCTTACAATTAGTATACAAAGATTCTCCTTTCATGAAAGGTCTATCAACGATCGTGAAAGGGATTCGGTGATTCCTCCGACTTCGAACACGCCCCGATCGGTCCTGTTTTCCTCCGATGAAGAATACAGAACCGCATCGGAAGGTGGACGGAGAGAATCCGGTGACTGGTCGGAAATTCCGGTTTCGCCCCCTCTTATTAGAAACGGAGATTGGTCTTTGCCTTTGAAGGGGTCTAACTGGTCAGATACGACGAATCACGAGTGGTCGGAATTACCACCGTCGCCGCCCTTGACGAGAACGGCTCTTTCGAGGGTCAAGGCGAGATCGAGGTCGAGTTCGAGATCGCGAGTTTACAAGAGGAGTCGTAGTTCACCACCGAGTTCGCGACGAAGTACTCTCGATAGTGTCAGATCGGAAGATCTTATGATGGCCTGTTGCGAGTTGGGAGAAGACGAGGAACAAAGCAACGGACATATTCAAAACAGCAGTCGTCTTTCCGGTTCGAATGACAGTCCTTTAATCGTCGAGCTCTTGGAGAACCAAGTCTCCCTCTTGCGCGATCAACTCGATCACAATCAGCCTCATCCGAGCGCATTGCTAGTCATCGTTGAACGTCAAGAAAACGAGATAGAGAAATTAAAGTCACAGTTAAACACGGCACGAATAGACGTGGCCAACGCTGAGAAAGAATTGTCCAGATTGAGGCAGCAAATGGCAGAGGCGGTAATCAGGGAGAAACAGGTGGAAGAATTGCTCGGCACGATACAAAGAACGGAACAACAGAGGAACAAGGATCTCGACGATTTAGAGAAACTCAAGAAAGTCTATTCAAGAGAGAAAGAGATATTAGAATGTAAATTATTGGAAACCGAGGCTATTCTTAGAGAAACGAGCGAACGATGCGAGATGCTTACGAACGAGTTGTCATCGAGTCACGGAAACGTCGAACATTTGCAGGAAGAAGTGCAGGCACTTGGTGAAAGACTCTCTCAAGGTTAAATTACTTTTACTTCTCAGAATTATACATTCTTTTTATCTTAATTTATTCATTTATTTTCCTGTTACTCGTATTTTAGGTATCGAAGAAAACGAACGATTATACAATAGAATGAGAGAACTTGAAGAAAGAGGTGGCCTTTCCGGATCTCGAGAACGGGGCAGAAGCTTTGATTCTCTCAGCGATCTAACCAATATAGATTTGGACATGGATCTCAATATGCTGGACAAAGAGAGGTAATCTTCTATACGCGATTCTTAATTCGAAAACTTGTTCGATTGAAATATAAAATTATTCGTAACTATTTCTAGGATCGTTGAAGAGTACGATGAACTGCGAGTTCGATTCGAGAAGGCCATCTCGGAGATACGTGCTATGCGTAAAGAATTGCGCGAAGCGCACTCGACGCAGGATGCATTAGAATTGGAGATATTTGCTTATAAGCAGGATGCTATCGGTGTGAGCGAGACGAATCAAGCACAGGTTCAATTGATGGCTGCTCGTATTCAAGATTTAACCAACAAGCTAGCCGCCAGCGAAAAACAAGTCAGAACGCTCAAGCAGAAATTGACGAAGGCGGAAACTAGGGACAAGAGGAGATCGCTCTCCTTGAAGGGAAGAGAATCTTTCCAGATATCTCAGGAAATGGAAGATAAGCTGTTGGACTTGGAAAATAAGATATGCGCTATAGAACGTGGTAAGAGCATCGGTGGTGGTCCGATTTCCTCCACCGGTGCTAGTTCGAAGGAATCGAGTCCTACTTCGAAAAAAGATAAAGAGAAAGAAAAGAAAAAGGAAGGGAAACATTTGGATCGTGCTAGATTGCGTAGGAAGTCGTTGGACAGTGCGACCAGTTCAGAACCTATGAAGGTGTTAATCAGATTAAGCACACTGGAAACCAAAGTTGCGAGCGTAACCGAAAACATGGCCAGCGACGCGGAAAAAGATTCGAGCGAATGCAGTGAGGTGAGCGGTAGTGCGACGGCTTCCGCCGGTAACGAACTATCCTTGGAATTTCTCTCAAGATTAAAGAAATTGGAGAGAGTCGTGTGGAAGTCAAAACGACGATTGGAAAAGTGTTTGGGCTCGACGCAAACGGAGGACAAAGCGGAGAAATGCTTGCGCGAGGTCAACGATATTCTTGATTCGTGCGTAGAGTGTAAGAAAGGCCAAGTCAGTGGTCAAATCGGGGAATCGGTAGGAATAGTGGTATGTAGATTAGAGGCTATACTTAAGGATAAACTAAGTGAACTCACGAAGAGACGGCAAACGCTCGCATCGAACGACCGCTTGGACGATAGGGAGAAAGTCAAGTTGATCGCCGAAAGGATAGCATTCGAATCCGTGATACTTGGACGATTAAAGCGCGCGATCGGCGGTACCTTCGGAGATAAGAGCGCCGTTCTCGGTGAACTAATCGAAACTAGTCAGCTTGCCTCAAGCTTAAAGCATAAGATTCATGGAACCAAGCCCAAAACCTACCAAAACACGAATTACATGCAGTATCTTTCTAAAGTCTTAGCAAATAAGTTAGTTCTCGTAGGAGGCGTTATCCCGGTTAAAACGGAGACATCGCTACAACTTTGCAACGCTCGAAGCGAGAGCTTGAATTTCTTGTTGCAAAAACAAAAGGAAGTCGATGGTATTGTTGGACGATACAAGGAGACCAAATTAAAAGAGCTGGCCCAGGCCTTGGCGATCGAGACGCTTAATTTGTCCGATCAAGATGATCATCCCGCGAAACAAATAAACATCTCGAGCAAAAAATTGCTCGAAAACAAACGTATACGCGAAGCTTGGGCTCTTGCTCAGGAAACGGTCAACAAGGAGCTTGTGCAAAGCGAGGTGTCACGCGTTATCTTGCATTGTGCGCAGATCTACGAACAGGATATCTCGTCCGTCCTCGACACTTGTCTCAACTTCAACGAAGCTGGATGGGTCAGCTTGGAGAACTGGGCGGACGAAACGCGATCTAAATTACGCCAAGAGATTCAACTTTCTGTAGATGAGTTATCCGAAGTTTACGAAGATTCCCTTCGAACGATGAAAAGGAACAAGAGTTTTACCAATGCGGAGTACGATTCTCGTCAACTCTTGACGGATTACGCTGACGTAATTGCGCACAAAGCTTTAATAGATGCCAGAATTGCTATTCTACAAAAGAATACGAAACCGTCAACCTCTTTTAATGGACAAAGCGGTCAGAGTTTTCTATCTAGTCTCATACGAAACGAAGATCTTCTCAATCATTTGACCGAGGATAAATCTACTAATTTCGATAACGATCTTGTTCTCGAAGCAGAGTGCAATTATCTTTATCAACAGTTTGCCGAAGAGTGCGAGGAGAAAATATCTGGTAGGCAAGAATCGAAGGAACGACTTAAAACGATAGGACAACATTTAGGATATCTCGAGGAGGACATTAGTGGACTCGCCAAAACAATCAAAGAAAAAGCAAGCGCATCGACCACCAAAATGATCTGTCAGTTTGAACGTTCAAGTAGCGGGCTGACAGATTGGACAAATGTTTGCGAAAAGTGTTCTCATTTACGTGAACAAATCAAAAGACTAGCCGATTACATCGATCGTATGTCCTGCAAGCAGTGTGAAGAGTTACAAGAAACCATAAAGAGGCTAACGGCTCGTCACGAGGAAGAGCTGAAAACGCTCAAGAGAAATCAGGAGAAAGACATAATGGACATAAAGGGTGAACTCGATAATCAAAGGCAATCCTTAAAGACGCAGTACGAGCAAGAAGCAGCTAATCTACGAGAAAGGGCGAGAAAATTGGAACATAGATTGAATGCTATGGATTCTGAACATTATGCTCACGTAAATGAACTGCGTGCCGTTTATCAAAGATCCATAAGCGCAGAATTGGATACCGATGCTGAGACGAGGAAAAGATACAAGGATGAGATTAAGCACCTCAGGGCACTTTGTGAAAAAGGATTGTTAGCCATGGAAAATTCGCATCGACGTATTATTTCGGAAATGGAAGAAAAGCATCGACAGGAATTGGAAAATTTAAGGGTCGAAAAGGAGCAAGCTCTCTCGGAAGAAACTCAAGCGACTTTGGCTGCCTTGGATGCCATGAGAAAGGCGCACGAACACGAGGTACAGAAAGAAATTGCAAAGTTCAAGCAAGAATTCATCAAGCAAATGCAAGCTAGAGAAGATATCGGTGAACTGCACAAGGAACACGAGTAAGTATAGAGATTTATTTTTTCATTGAATTCTGTATCAAAGTTAGGGATTAAAATGATTGAATTATTTCTTAGGGAAGAGATGGAAGAAATAAAGCAAGAAATTCTTTCGTTGTCCGCCAAATATTCATCAAAATGCGTCGAGTCTGCTGCTTTGGAGGAAAAAGTAGGTACTCTTACGAAGCAACTTGCACAAGCGCAACAACACATAATGCAGCTAGATGCTAGGAATAAGCAGTTGAGAGCCCATTTTTTGGTCGAATGTAGCGACGCTGGTATCAACGATACTATTCAAATTTTAAAAAGCGGAGAGAATGACACAGTCGAACCGAAGGAGGAACTTTACAAGCTACCACAGCACATAAAAGTATGTAAAATAAGGCTCGTCTAATCTAAGGTATCATTTGTGAAAAAGTAGACGTGTTTAACCAACGTATCATACCTACTATAATATCTTAATATCATTAACTCTGCTGCGATTACACGTTAAAAAGCAAAGAAATGTCGAAGAAATAAATGATAACGTATTAAATCGTTTATCATTTAAATTAACATCGATTTCTAGCTATACCGTGAATTCGCATTAGCCGTACTGACGCATATTTTCGATATTTCACTAACAGCATGGGGACACCCTTCGTGAAACGACCGGTGTACCACAGAAATCTTCGTCACTAAACACCTCGCCAGCGTACTCACCGCAGCGTGTAAGAAATAATCACGAATCGATGCAAGGATCGAACGAGGAGCAGAAATTAACGAGCGAACGCCCAAAAAGCTCCTTATCCACGCTTCAAAAGTCCCTTTCGGCGGATAAACCGAGCAGCTTCTCGTACAAGCTCGAGCGAATTAAATCCATATCGTTGCCTTACTCGAATAATTTAGTTAGGCCGGGGAGTAGTACTGCTATTTCATCGCACGATAGGAAAGATACGATCTTAACGCAAAAGAACGAAGAACATAATGGCATAGCATCGCCATTATGGGACAGCTTAAGACCAAGGAGCGGATTGCCCCATCAGTATCAAGGTACAGAAGAGAGGTGAATGGAAACGTATCAAAAAAGCATCTCTGGTGGTGGTGGTGGATATGCATCTGTATTCGGATTAAAAGTTCTGCTTTTTTTTTTCTCTCTTCTTCTTATTAAGTATTCCGCATTAAGTGTATATACATTTGTCAGACGTGTTCTACTCAAAGGAATAGTTAAATTGCTTTATTTCTGGTATATCGTTTGTTATGCTGTGTGATGAACTACGATCGTGTTTCGACTTGGATACTTGGAGCATGCAAAACTTAAATCGATTTTTACTATTCTAACACAGATCTTTTAACCGATATACGTGATTTTATCGGACATAATCCTCCTTATTCCGATTGATATCTAACTGGTGCACTTAGTTAGTAAAATTCAATTACTCTCAACGAGTTGCTTACAATACGGAGCAAAAAATCGTTTAGAAAGATTGATTATTCATATCATATCATTTTTTATAAATCTTTTTTATTTGTAAGAAAAAAATTATTCTTCGAAAGACGGTGCAAAGTAAAAAATGTGCAATGATAAGGAGAAACGTGTTTACCAAAGTGGCGCTCATTCTTACATACGCGAGTATGTTTGTATCTGATTAATCTAACGCAAAATTTGCACGAGCCTTTGATATTATTGTTAGTAGGTATAAATCATATTTATATATACGTGTTAAACGTCAAAGCATGAAAGTGATATAATGAGTTGAATTATAACCGATAATTATATTTCTATTTGCTAACATGTGTTTGAAAGCAAATTAACAATGCGAATGTTTAAGACGACTGTGTCTTACTCTATCTATATAGATGTCTGATCTTCATACTATATAATAATTAACTGACTTTTCATAGAAATCATAGTTGTATCTCTATGTCCATACTATGTTATACATTTTTTTACGTGGAATCATAGCTCTTACTTGGCAATTTAGTTGAAGGATATGTGTTGTATGGGATTCAATTAATTATGATGTTTGAAGTTTAATTAAAAGCTGATAACATTTTGACGTAGAAATACAGGTACGATTTCCTGCATTTTCCTGGAAAGGATCAAAAAAATATGCAAATAAGAGTAATATTTAATCCAAAGAAGTTGGTACGAATAATAATAATAATAATAATAATGTATCCGAGTAAAGGGAACATATAACTAAAATTCCTTGGAAAGGTATAATCAAAAGTAACTGAATTTACACTTATTGCGAGATAAGCTATGGTATATCTGTATTGCGTATAACGTAAGATGTTTGTGAGTCTATAAAAGTCCTATTAGCGCATAACTGTATTTAGACAATTATTTAAAATAAAAGGTGGCACAGCAGAGATGCGAATCAACGGTACTGGCAGTCGGAAACAGGAGGACAAACAAAGTAAAAAACAGCAACAATCGGAGACATACACCCTCCGTACCGACACTCATCACCCATCCTACCTCAGCCCGGAACCCCCAGCTCTCTCCGTTGCAGGTCTGCCATTGCAAACAAATAACGTACTTGCATATTTCATTTGCAATTTTTCATACAAACATTATAACGGCTGTTTTCTTTCTTTTTTGCTTTTTTAGAGCTGATGAGGAGGTCTCCATTATTGAGGTGGTCGAGCAGAAATTGTCGTAGCTTGCCTCCTACACCTCTACCGAATTATCATCAACCGCTCCACCCCCCACTCCCCGCGGTGGGCATGGTTGCAGAGAGGAAGAAGCGTTTCGAACTTTAAACCCCCTGTCCATCTTTCGCTTAAATTACCGGAATCATCGATTTGTACGCACGAGTCGCATCATCTTTTACGCTACGTATCCAAACCGATTTTACTAAAGCGTGTAAAATTAAATTGTTCTTTTATTCGTATGCTCATTTGGTTTTTGCTCATGCACATTGTTTCCTTTTTTAACAATGTGTTCTTTTCTTTTTTTTTTTTTTTATTGTGAAGAGATTCAGGAATTGAAATGCGTGAAAATTCGACATTTAAAATGCGTTCCTTGTAAATGTTAATTCAAGGATGATTCAGGATACGCTTACATAATTAGTATACTTTGATAATGTGCAATAAATCGTGCTCAAGTACGTGCTTACCTTGTATCGCATCACTCTATTGAGCATGTTTATAAGGTAAACATGATTCAATAATAATAATAATAATAATAATCGAAAGGAGTCTTTAGTCTCGTCTAGAAGGAAGTGGATTCTTTACGCCCATCTTCGTTCCAAGTGGCTTATACTATGAACGTTCATTATACGCCTATTCGTACGATAGGTTTGTTTTTGATAAAGTTTATCCAGAAAGGTGTTTTTCTAATTACATTCATATATACAAGATCGTCGCGAGGATCAACGTGACGATTGTCCTTTGATATGCATTTAAACTTTGATAACAAGTTTTTTCCGTAGATACCATTTAGTCACTTTGCTACAAACAACTTTGTAATATTTGAAAAGTGCTGTTCTTCGTTTTACTTAACACTTAGCTGACCGAACGGGAAGATCTCCTCGTTTCAATGTAGATCGGTGCCCAAACCAACCGATCGGGGAGATCTTCCTCCCATATTGACCTTAGCAATGCGTTTTTGTTTTGTTTTCGTTTATTTATCTATATAGTAAATAATTTTCAAACTACTTTGATTTCAAATACCGCATATCAGTTCGCGTCACTTGCGAAACCTGCGTGGTGGAAATCATCGTACAGTTCGCTGGTCAGCGCACGTGGTCGACTAAGTGTTAAGAAACAAAAAAAAAACAAAAAAGAAGAAGAAGAAGAAAAATCTCATTTTTTGGTGAAAAAACAAATTTTTCTACTCTACAAGCTTGGTGCGATAATTATAAACAATTAAACGAAGAAAACGAGAGAGAATAATAAGGAAAACATTCAGTCGCGAGTCATATACACAAGAAAAATCATTTCGTGATAATTGCTATAGTATAYATATATATATCTCAACTATATCAACGCATACGTATCTCGATACTTAATCATTCGAGATAATGACGATACAATCTATTTGAAAATATCTGTTTTTCAGATATCTACCTATTACACACAAACACACTTCTCATTTTGAAAAAGAGTTAACAGTGAGTTTCATTTTAGCTGAAGCACAAGCTCATATTTCTATTGTTCTGTTGTATGTTGTTTATTTTGATATTAAAAATCTGGCCGCCCTGTGTTATGAACATGTTTGTGATCATGACACGTAATAAAAATGTTAATGTGCAAAAGGAGGGATGAAGTAGAAAGAAAAAAAAAAACGAAAAAAAGTAAGGAAGGAAGGAAGGACTTTTGTTGATTTAGAATCGAAAAAAATTAAATAAAAATGTTATGCTTGTTTTTTTTTTTCTCTTGTTATGTACAGATTTTGCACATAATTATGCCGTTATATCGTCGCATTGTGTATTATCGCATCTTTCATCGTGTAAATGTGTTTTCAGATTGCGATTCATTTGATGTTAATATTGTATAGTTTATGATGTTTTCTTTAAGATATGAAATATAAATAGTTTGAAATTAATCATTTTCCATTGTAAATGGATCGATTCTATATATATATATATATATATTACTATTGTATTTTATTTTACAAACCCCCATCGTGATCCGTTGTTGTAGCGTAACGCGTGCATGCTATATTAGAAACGGTAAACGATGTTAACAAAATTCATTATCTCTTATGTAATTAATTACTCAGGATTGTTTAACATTTATAATATATTACGATTATGATATTGTATTTGTATTATAATTTATAACACGTTTGAAATAAAATATGGCAACTATCGTGTATATTTATTTGTTTTATCTTGCATTTTCGTTGATGATTATTTTTATAATAGACACGAGAAACAGACACCCGATACACAATAAGCATAAATTTATCTTTTGACTAATATTTCAACATTAATAATCATCAAAAATTAATAAATAATAATTCAAAAATAAAAATTTAAGTGTTAGTTTTAAAGTTAATCGATTAATCGTAATTTAAATTTATTCAAAATCAATTGCAATGAAAAATTAATTAATTAATTAATTGTGAACAAGTTGTGAAAAGAATTAAGTAAAGAATGCATTTTTTGGGGATTACATAATATCAATGTTGATGATAATATTGATATTGATTCAGATAATGATGACATAATTATACGTGCTCCAAAACGTTATTATATTCGAGATATACAAGATCCCCTTTTGATTTTTATTCAGATGTTGAATTTAATAAGCGATACAGATTTGACAAAAACAGTATTATGTTTGGAATATTACCAACTAATAGAACCGAATTTATAGAAGTTATATTAAAAAATCCGAAGCTTTTTAAAAACCTTTTAAAACCTGTTGTTGTGTGATAAGTTTTTCCAATTAAAAATACTATAACTTCAACAAGAAGAGCGTCACGTCAGAAGAGTGCCATGGCGACCAACGCGTTAATTCATATTCATCAATTTTCATGTGATTATTTCGATGATCGAAATAAACAGATTTTCATGGAGAGCTTACTTTCTCGTTTTCATACTTCTCCTCATAACCTGGCAGCTGCACAAAGTTAACATAAACGGGGTTCGTGTAATAGGCGATCATGATATCTAAGAAATCAACTTACCAAACTAGTCGAAACGGTGGGTGGTTGTCTTATGTAACCTCCAAAACGTATAGCCAATCAGAAGGTGAGATACGAGGCACTTAACGAAACCATCCGAAGTAACTGTACGTTTTTACGGAAGAAGCCGAAGAAAACAGCTGTTAATCAAAGACCTTCTTCGTTTCATACGTTTCCTTTTAACTCTCCAGCTTCACGAAGTCGGCCGAAATGGAGTTTTTGTAATGGCATAGTAGAAAGTGCAAAGAGGTTAGCAAGCATTCAGTTAACGTTAAGACGTTTTACTCTTATGATATGATGTTTTCCTTGTAATTCGTTATTTTTGTGGCCAAAATTCTGTCTTTCACGAAGGAGAAGGAAACAATATAGAGATAACGCCATTTAAAATACATCATAGAAAGCTCGAATCTCTCTCTCTCTCTCTCTCTTTACAAGCGTATCATTTTCTTATATTTTAAGTTAGACATTTTTTTCAAAAGTGACAATAATTTTTATTTTTTCCTGATAAAATATGAAGTAAAATTTATTATAAATTATTAGGAATTTACATATACGATTAATTATTAATAATTGTTTTTTATAAATTATGATAATGTGCGGGTGTATATATATAGCATCTGTCATGGTGAAACTTTGACAATCATTATTGCATCGTAAAATTAATTGTAAAATATTCTAAGAATCCAAATACTGTTCAACTTTAAAAACTGAATTTGAATTTTATTCAATTCATTATTAATTTGATAATAAAATTAAAATATATTTGAGAGAGAGAGAGAGAGATAAATTATGGTTTTCATACACTTTCATACACTTGTTTTGTGGCCTGTCGGTAATGTCAAGCGAGAGTGTTTGGAAAGAGTATAGAATTATATAAAACATTGCAAAACCACTTTCCGTGTGAAAAATCATCTTATTTAGCACCGAGACCCCACCAGTGAACGATAGTAGGTAGAATACTGTATTCTTTGATAGTATTGTACCATTCTTTGATAGCATTGTACCATTATCGCGTTAAATATCTACTATCGCTAACTGGTGGTCAGGTTAGTAACTAAGATGAATTTAGTTAAGAAAAAAAGGGATTTGTGAGCTTCTATGTACTTCTGTATTATTTGATGTTTGAAAGCATACGAATTGAGGTTAAGAGTTTTTATTATTTGGTTTAATAGATAATTTTGTTTGTAAAAATAAAAAATATTTGTTATAATCAAAGATTCTTATTGAGATAAACAAGTAAATTCGTTGGAAGAACACAAGGAATTCGTTGTATTTTTATTTTATTTGAAATAATATTATATTAGTGTTCAGTCAAATACAGAACAGTTAATATTTAAAAATTTTTTGTTGTGTTTTAAGAGAAAAACGATTCCTTGGTAAGTTGATACAAAAATTGATGATAATCAACATTGTAAAGTATCATTAATCACTGATAAAATATGATATCAGTAAGAAGATTAGCCTGTATATTATATAGGCAAAATTCAATAGCAAGTGTATCTAGAAAACCTTATTTTTGTTATAACATGACATTAAATGTTAAACAATCTTGTTGGTATTCAACACGGAAGGATTTAAGTAAAGTCGATAACAAAGACACTAATAATAAAGTAAGCACGGATTTTGTGGAAGTAGGTAATTTATTCTAATTAAATTTGATATCATAATTGTTAAACGAAAAAGCCCTTTTTTTTTTTTAACGTTACATTTTATATTTTCTTTATTTTATTCTAGTTAAAGAGAATACAATATCTGCCGGATACTTAGTGATTATAGCAGCGGGTCTTTCCATTTTAGTCTACATCGGTTATTCCTTATTAAATGAATTGTTTTCTAGTAACAGTCCATATGGAGTTTATAAAAGAGCATTAAAATGTTGTCAAGAGGATTCTAAAGTTTTAGATGCTCTTGGTGAACCTATCAAAGTTTATGGCGAAGGAAGAAGAAGAAGAAATCATTTTAGGTAAATTGAAGTCAATTTTTTGTTCATAAATTTCATATAAATAGAAAATATATAATTATCAATTTATTTCTAGTCATGGATTCTATGAACAAGATGGCATCGTATATTTGAAATTGAGATTTCATATGGAAGGAATAAGACGTAAAGGCATCGTATATGTAGAAGCTAAAGTAAGTATATATATATATATATATATTTTATATGTATTACTTCGTTAGTTACTTAAATGAATAATTTATTTATGTATGTGAACATTCCACAATAATTGTACAATTGAATTTAAATTTCAGAATGTGACTGATAATTACGAATTAACACACATATATGTAAAACTCGATGATATTCTAGGAAGTGTTCTTATAATAGATCCTAACAGAAAATAGGAATAAACAGTGATGATAATTCAATTGATCCATTTTATTTATTTTGTTTTACACATCTTGAGAGATTTATTTTAGAAAAAAAAAATTGTATGTATGAGAGATTTTGTTTATCAAAAAAAAAAAAAACAATATATATATATATGTCTTATAGTAACATTGTGAATTTATTAATCATAATATGTCTTTAGATTCAATATGTAATTATGTATGCATACGTGTTTCTTCCGAGAAAAAGAAATTATTAAATTTATATAAATATATTTCAATTCGTAGGATATGATTCGAAGAATACGTCAATATTTTATCATCATTTTTACACGAAACTCTATCAAATGAAATATATTAAATAAGCACGCGTCCGTACTCGACAACAGTAACCTCCCAAAAGTAAGAATGTGTAGAGTGTGTCTGTGAGAAGCGGGAGAGCTCCTAAGCGCGCTTCTTTGCCAATACCAGTAGATTCGATCTGACAGTCGTACATCTGTCGGCGAAGTAAGAACGACACGTTACGCAGACACGATTAATTAAGTGAACAACATTTTGTATCAAGGAAAAAAAAGTAGTATTTTTTATACATTGATCATTTTATCAAATATTAATTATAACAAAGTCGCGATCGAGGGATACATTTTTCTCTCATCTTCGTCTTGTGCTATATCGATTTGAAAAAGAAACATTACTAAACAAATTGTTTCAGTTCAATTTGGTGTTTTCAATCAATGTATGTTTTTTTTTTTTTTTTTGTATTGATTTTAATTTTAATTTTTTTTGTCATACTTGTATATATGAAAAAAGTAAAGTAAAGAATAAAACAACATTTATCTAATAGTTACGGATCACAGTGTTACGGGTTGTTCATAAGGAATAAAACTAACCGGTCGACGTCCTTGGCTAAACTAATCATCGATAAATCTAATTGAAGAATCAAGTTTTCCTTCGGCTGGCAGAAAAGGAAATTCATTGGGTCGGGTGATCGATAAAGATCGCAAGTGTCATTCAGTGTTTTATTATACGGTGCGCTTCTTCATTATTTCTTCCGGATTGTTTATGTCTGCCTGTTTCCTTTTTCTCCTCAAACCAGCCCTGAATTAATAAGATAAACATGAATGCGTACAAATAACACATCGTATTTTTTCGCATCTTTGTCAATAGGATTATGCAAAGAGGAATAATAATAATAATAATAAAAAAAAACGATGATATTTTGATAAACACGAGGAATAACTATTGGTAAATTAATCAAATTAGCGTGAACTATCCGATAAAAGAAATGTTGAAAAAGTGTTGTTCCTGCTTTACGGGATTTAAGGCTGTATTTCAGCCTGAGGAGAATGGTCCAACTTGGAAACCGAAATGCACCAAACCAGAATGCTTACCTCGTCCACCGAATGCTTCCGAATCAGGTAAAGTAAGATTCACTTATTGCGTACGCATCTTCTACCGTTCTTTAATTTTTACACTCCTACGAAAATTTATCGTGAGTTATTTCAAGGACGTCACGTTTGCGAATATGGATAATCGATTATTTACACAGTTTCTCATTTTGTTCTCTAAGAGCAACGATTAACATAATTAAGATTCTTCATGAAATCGTAAGAAGAAAATTTGAGAAAATTGCGTTATATAATTATTTAAATTATTCATTAAGATCTGAAAGGCAAGAACAAAAGTCGTTGCACTTTTGATGATGAATCATTGCATTATCCTCGATCGTGAAATCACATTCCTTAAAGTTTTCTCCGTCAGCGTGTACGATCGTTGTCGTTGACGTTAACATTGTGAATGTTATGGAACAATTGATAACCCATGATTTTTCATGAGTTATCAATTTAGCTTGAAGATAATGTAAATATTTCGTATAATTACGGTTGGAATTATGCGATAAAGTATATGCGTATATCATTAATATGGTTTCACTAATAGAAATATAGAATGTCATCTTTGTAGTCTAAAAATTATGCAGAAAATGATTTCATTTATAGACACGCCTGTTTTGCTTACGGTTATCTTTCCTTATGATAATATGCACTTACGTGAGCATTTTCTAGGAGTCCCGGATCTTTCATTTCATAATATTTCAAAAAGTTTATTTTTTGTTTCCCCCTTATTGTCTTTGAATTGATTGATTCATTCCATCTGACCACAAAGTTTGAGTTAGTTTTACGAAAGTTGGCCAAGGTGAAAACGCCTTTACACGCCTTTAGGAATATAATCCGAAAGTGCAACGGGCGACGATGTTTATACTATTCGCGGGTGTGTGAGTTTTCTGGTCGATGATGTCACTGCACTCTTACACGCCGATATAATGATTATTTAAATCTTCTCTCGTGCTCGAAGATCGGTGTCCTCCATTGATCACGTTTCTACGAATATTATTTATACTTCAATTTCAAACTGTTACATATTGAAACTCTTATTTCGTATGTCTAACATTCGGTCATATTTAAATAACAAGAAAGAATAATTAATTTCGATGTAAGCCGAATTGAGTCATCAAGCGTAGTAAAGCATAGTCAAGTTAAAATTTTCGTTTCATTTAAGAGAAAAATGCCCTTGACACGGACCCTTGACACAGACCCTTAACTCGTGCTCTTGATGTTTTTAGAGACAATAGAAATGATCTAGCAGAACGTACTCGATGACTCACATCAGAATCTTTAGAATAATTCGATATGACTCTATTTGCGATAGAAACAGAACATTTGTGCAAACATGTACGCTTGCAAAAGAATTCAAATTCCTTCATTATTTCTATTCGTTGGTTAATTGAAGATTCTTAGCAATCTAAAAAAAGAATTTCGTTAACGGATATCTTAATCGTTGAGCGCGTTTATTTTTCGACATCAGTTTTGGTTCGTCCCATCAAATGGGAAGAGCTTTAACAATTTTCAAAACAAACATAGAGAATATCTTCTACAAGTTAGAAATTAAATAGAAGAGGTCGTGAAACAACAGTTTACTTGCATAGACCGAGTGCCAATCAATCTCCTACGTAATCGGCTGCCAACGGCTGATTTGAAAGATTTAAAGGCGCCTGCCTTCTCGACGCACATCGACGCACATCGACGCGCATTGACGCTCGTGCAAACGCTTCGTCACGTTGATCCCATTTCGAGTTTGACAGATGCGTTGCTCCAAGAATTCGATCGTAATCGTCCATTTTGGTAAGGCTGGCTGGGTTGGGGGACTTGGTTTCTCAAGAAAACACAATCATGAGTGATTCATGATACGATTCTCTCGTTAAACTACGCAACAGGTTTTTTCGTCATATTTCATTCATCCTCACTTTTCACATTAGATCTTTGCCTTTCGTTGGAATGATGTAAATCGGTAAATTGATATACCGCAACGAGAAATCTTCTTTTCCTCCATGTGTACTTTAGCATACCTATAAATACATTTGCGTAAAAATATACGGAAGTGGAGTACGTCATCGCCATACTATGAGTCAAGCATTGTAGTCCGTCCAAAATTAAATAGAATTATCTTCGTAAGTGAAACAAGTAACATAAGTTGAAAAAATCGTAAGCAATCCCATTGGATGGTGTCTCTAGATCGTTTATGATAAACTACCTAATAAGTATGGTAATCGAGGTGACACGTTCTCTTTAGTCGGAAAAATATGCGTCATTGATCCACTTTTCATAGATATGTATCTATTAATCATTGAAATAGATCATAACTCGTTAATCCTTTCTCGATCAAGATTCGATAACGAAATGGTGTTTCTTTCTCGTAAAAGGCACATTTAAGATAGATGGATATTCTATTAATCGACTAATTTGGCGAAAGAATTTGCTCTACCATTATAGAATGAAATAAACTTTTTCTGATATGGATAAAAACGTTCATTTGAACGCGATCCGAATATGATCGGTAGATAGATCAATATATTACTATATATCGGTATAGTGATATGTGTAGAGGTAGTACGTTTGGAAAGTACGTTATTATCGAAGCTCTTTATTAGTTTCGTTTGACGACTCATTTAACGATCTCTTGTTAGCAATCGATCTTGCCTGGCATGCTCGTTAATTACCCGCTATAAGGAAGCAAGCGTACCTATCAAAGATCGAGATTCGACGAGTCTCTTCTACCTTCGAAACTCCGTTTCGATCTTATCGGGGCTATTCATCCAGCGAATGAGAATCCTCAGAAATTGATCGCGATCTCTAAAGACGGCAGGTAAAGTGATATCACTTTTCATAGATCGGTAAATCGTATAAATCCGTGCTAGACCGCGTAGATCGCATAAAAAGATAATTAATAGGAGGAACAAAGTGGGCGATATGATCTAACGAAGGATAGAGAAGCGACCATTTATGGTCGTGTGCTCCGTGCACGTGTCTAGCCTTGCTCCTCCGACTTGCAATGAACTAGTTGCGTTCGCGACTCTTCAGTGTATCGACGGAACTCCTGGAGAACTTAACCGTAGATACTGAATACGAGATTCACCAAGCGGCGCGTTACATCGGTTACATCGTTACATGGATTCAGTTAGGCGCATGTTTATCAGACATCAACCATCTCAACCATCTCAACCGATTCCCGATCGTCGCAGAATGTTTTACAGATTTTATGATCGTTACCGCGTATTCAACGATCGACACTTTCGACCATTTCCCTTTAGATTTCATTGTGAGTGCGTTGCATTGATCAAAATACGTGCAATGCTCGAATTGATTTTCGGTATTCGTTATTTTATGTTTTGTTTTTAGGGGAACATTATGGCGTGCCGATCTTAACGATCCATCAAATCGATCCTTGCATAGCAGAGAATGGATACAATCATAAGACTTCGAGATACGAATTGATGAACCGTAAAGGGGACGAAGCAAGACTCATTGTTAGGCGTGGTCAACCTTTTTATTTACATTTCATGTTATCGAGAGACTACGATCCTAATATCGACGGTATTTCCCTTATTTTTACCGTTGACGGTGTGGAGAAGCCTCAGTACGGGCATGGCACCCTTGTCGCTATTCCCGTTCTTAATTCTGGAGAGTATTCCGAGGCTTCTTGGCAAGCCATCATCGAGACGATAGAACCGACCTTTATACGATTGAAGGTACAATGAAAGAAGGAAGAAAGAACTAAAGTAGAAAAATAATGTTTTTTAATAAAAAATTCTTTTGATAGATCACACCTTCCCCGAACGCCATCATTGGCAAATGGAAAATGGATATCGATACTAAAAATAGAGAATCCGAAGGTGCGGTGAGCTACACAATGGAACATTCATTTTACATAATTTTCAATCCGTGGTGCGAAGGTAAGTTATTATGAAAACATTGATATTTCTTTCTTAATAAATACAATCGATTATTTTTTTACGATCTTTCAGACGATACGGTGTACATGGAGGACGAAGCTCAAAAACAAGAGTACGTAATGTCCGATGATGGTTTGATTTGGCGTGGTAGTTATAATCGTTTGAGACCAACCGTATGGAAATATTCGCAATTTGAACGAGATATATTGGATTGTGCTTTGTATCTTATGACGAAAGTTGGAAAGGTTCGAATTTTTGGACGAAACGATCCCGTTGTCATATCTCGTATTCTTTCTGCTGCTGTGAGTATAAAAATGTTTGACACAAATGTTGCCTATCGCAGAAGTAGATCTGTCGTTTTTCAAAACTTCTTGAGAGAGGGGGGTAAAAAGATGAATTCGCAGATTTTGATAACTCGTAAAAGGATATCTTATTGCCTATAGGTAAATTCGCCGGATGATAACGGGGCTGTGATGGGTAATTGGTCGGACGATTACGAGGGTGGAACACCACCGACCAAATGGATGGGCTCGCAAAAAATCCTTCAACAATATTACAAGACAAAGAAGCCTGTTAAATATGGTCAGTGTTGGGTATTTTCCGGAGTATTAGCTACGGTTTGCCGTACTCTCGGTATACCTTGCCGAGTTGTAACCAATTATTCTAGCGCCCACGATACTCAGAGTAGCTTGACGGTCGATTATTTCGTCGACGCGGAGGGCAAAATTATGGAGGAACTTAACAGCGATTCGATATGGTAATTGAAAACATAAAACGCTATTGCAAACTGTACTTTTAACCCTTCTCATCCTTCTCTGTGTACAATTAATCTCTTGAGAGATACGCTATTAAAAATCGTGGCGTCTCTTCGAACAGGAACTTTCACGTATGGAACGAGGTATGGATGAAACGTTTGGATTTATCGCCTGATTGTGATGGTTGGCAAGCAATTGACGCGACTCCTCAGGAATTGAGTGAAGACGCTTATCGTTGTGGTCCAGCCTCCGTGGCTGCTGTCAAAAATGGCGAGGTTTTACGTCCTTATGATAATTCCTTCTTATTCGCCGAGGTAAACGCCGATAAGATATTTTGGCGATACAACGGCCCAACTCAGCCCTTAAAGTTGATACGAAAAGATATTTATGGGTGAGTTTTTTTTTTTTATTGAGAAAATCAATTGAATTATTTAACTAATTTTATTTTTTGCTCTTATAGAATCGGTCAACTGATAAGTACGAAGGCAGTTGGTCGGTGGGCCAGAGAAGATATTACGAATACTTATAAATATCCTGAAAGTAAGTAAAATAATATCTGTTTCCTTGGAACGATTCGCAAGCGTCATTGTTCTTACAGAATCAGACGAAGAACGGGCTGCCATGATTAAGGCGTTGCGTCAGAGCGAATCTCTGTTTAGTCGCTACTATCTCAACGAAGAGTTTAATGACGTCATGTTCAATTTCGAGCTTCGCGATGATATTATAATAGGGCAACCATTTAGGTATATATAGATAGAATCAAAGATCTATAGGTATTTACAAATGGATATTCAAATTGAAAGATTTTCTTATTTTTAGCGTCGTTCTTACGATCAAGAACCGAAGTTCTTATCAACAATACGAGGTGTCCGTTATATTAAGGGTCGAAACGGTTCTCTATACTGGTCGCGTTGGTACTCCGGTAAAGAAACAGGATATTGAACGTTTGGTCAAACCTGGGGTCGTCGAAGATATACGTATGGACGTTTCATGGGAAGAATATGGTCCACGATTGTTGGATCAATGTGCCTTCAATATCGCCTGTTTGGCTACGGTCAAAGATACCAACTATGAGTATTTTGCTCAGGATGATTTTCGCGTGAGAAAGCCGGACATAAAAATTGAGGTAAAGTGTACATATATTTTGTTACTCGTCAAATATTTCATTTGAAATGATTTTCTTTTAATGATTAGTTAATGGGCGACCCTGTAGTAGGGCAGAAATTCGATGCAAAGGCCAAATTTAAAAATCCATTACCTATTCCTCTGAAAAAAGGCAGATTTTTAATCGAAGGGCCCGGCTTGGACCAACAATTAAAAATCAAATTAACCGAACATGTCGAAGTTGATGCCGATGCAGAATGTGCCTTCTCCATGACGCCAAAACATGAAGGAAGAGCAACAATCGCTATTAAATTCTATTCGAAGGAGTTGGAGGACGTTGATGGATTCATCAACTTTATGGTAAAGCCTGAGAAAGAGTCTCCCAGTAACTACAATTGATGCTACTACAAATTTTTGGGAATATTCTTACGTCGTTAATAGGTTAACCATCATTTTTGTGCATTGAAAAGGGAAGTTTTATCATAATGGATGAAAAAGAGTACACTCACTATGTACAGTATAAAAATATGCAGAGCATATTTATTATTTCCGCTGGATAGATCATATATTTTTGGATACATATATTTAGAAAAGATTTATATTTTTTCCTTAAGCATACGTGAAAAATTGTATATGTATATATATATATGTATATATATATGTAACATATATTTTTGATCAATGTTTACACTTAGATCCACAGAGAACTACGTTATTAAAATTTAACTCATTCGTTGTTCTTTATTAAAAAAAAAAAATCTATTCGTAAATGACCTTTTTTTTCTTCCATCGTTCTTCTTAGTTTGACGCAGGATGCAGTGGATGGAAGATCTCCTACCGGTAGGTAATAAAAAATTTAATAAAGCAAATATATTTTGAAAGAGAGTAGTTGGATATGCATGACTTAAGAGCGGAATGGGATAAATTAATAGCCGTCAATTAGGTATCCTTCTTGTTGATCACGAAGTTCGAACGGAGTATAATTATTTTGAAAAGCAAAAAAAAAAAAAAAAGAAAGGACAAAAAAGAAAGATGACGGCACATTAGAAAGGTACGCGCGATCCTGATGCAAACGATGTATCATCATCCGAGAAAATTAATGTTGAAATATGACTGTTGGAGAATGATAGGAGAGATAGAGACATATGTAAATTTACATTACATCGTAGTTTTCAAAAGGAGAAAGAGAGACCGAATTGGAGAAGTTATTGCGAGATATCGATTAATGAATGCCGAAGCAAAATCATAAAGGTGGTGAAAATAGCGAGACAAATTGGACAGAGAGTTGAAGGGAAGACTGATGAAAGGCATCGACGAAAACGTTGTAGGCAAAATTAGCCAAACAAGTATACCTCTAGCTTTTTCCCCTCTCCTATTACGATCATTTATACTGATTTATCATCGATAGTTGCGTATTGGTAAATAATGTAGCGTTTCTTTTTTTTTTAAGAGAGAGATTTCGAATTTTCGTGAAAAGCTGACCAACTACTCTTTCGTCCGTCAACTCATTGAAGGAAAAAAATATTGTAAAAGGATTGGTGTATGGGACGAAAAAAGAAAAAAAGAAAGAAAGAAAAAACAACACAAGAGCAAACAGTGAGATATGTCTACGAAGGTCAGCTTGACGTGTGATGGACGTGTAGCGGGCCCCCTGTCCGCGGGGTTCTCGAAGAAGAGAAATCAGTGGAGAAACTCGGAGAGCAACTTGGAGAGGATCTATACAGGGGGTTCATTTCGGTTCAACGTAATTCTGGACTCGGCACCATGCTACGCGCCATGCATCAACACCCAAGATCCATCCCATTATGTATATCTCATCAAAATAACAAACACGCCTTCCACCGTTAAACCAACATTCCTTTGTTGGCATTGAAAAGCCGGTATCCATCAGAATTGCTACAGAAGATGCGTCAGTGACGTATACCCCTAACTATGAAAGAAAGAGAAAGAGACGCAACCCAGTGGGACGTCGAGCGTGGTAGGGGGGCAAAATTTAAAGATTTCTCCTCAAACGTTATTAATGCCAAGGATCAAAACGATACGCGCAATCAGAGAGCACATCCTTTTTTCTTAGATTTTTATCTATCTCCTTCCTCTTCGTCACACAATTACAAATATTTTTTTTTATTGTTTTCTTTTTTTTTTTCAATCCTTTTTACAGAAACGTTCTATCTTAGCAGTCAACGTTTCCATTGGCTTTAGTAACCAGTTTCTTTCGTGCTCGTTAGATGGCGCCGCGATACTATTACATCTGTTAAATATTAGCGCACCGTAGCTGAGAAGAAAGTAGACATAAATTTCGACAAGTTTTTAATCAACCAACCAATCAACCATCGTCGATTGATTTCATTTTTCGACTCGTTCTTCGTAATAAGATCATTCGCAAAAAAATATTTGTAGAATATATAATTAACACGCTTACGTTCGTCGACGCGGTAGGCAGATTACCACCTGTCGAGTCAGCTTGCATAGAAGACCACCGAAAAAGACCTAATCGTTCTTCATATTAAAAAAAAAAAAAAAAAAAAGACAAGAAGGGAGGAAAAAAAATGGAAAAAAGGATCGTTTAATTTTGCGGTTAGTCGGCGTGTCTTTCGTCTATAGAGAAACAAATTACTTCCTTATTAGATGGCATACATTTTATGAAAATTATAGTCGGCACATAATGGTCTCTGTTCCCATAGAAATTGGCCCAATTTGGGTGACAAGCGATTAGGACACGCGAGGTTAAGCGAAAGGTATAGCTATAGCAAGTAGTAGTTCTTTCTTTCCCTCATTCTTTCCTTCTTTAGTTTTCTTCTTTGCTGGTCACGCCAATCGTAGTTTGTCTGTAATTTGTGAATGTTTATCTCTTTTCTTTCATCATACCACGAGAAAAACACTTGATCTTTCTTTTTCACCGATACGCTTTCACCTACTCTATTACTTTCTCAGCCAACTGTGGAACCAAGTCATTTTTTCTTTTCTTCTCGTAGACTTTGACGCCCTGTTGCGGTTTGAAGCAGTCGGTATTCGCAAGAGAGATCACAGCAGTCAAACGAATACGGTAGTCAGCAAGCTAGAGAGTCATTGTTTCTTAAAGAAAGAGTGAAATTGGAGCATGGAACATCATTCTGGTCTCGTTACCCGAATGTTTGTGCGATAGCCTATTATTTTCACTGATCATAACCATAATCTCGGTTGGAATAATAGGGGAAACCATTCGAGCAAGAAGAAAGAAGAAAAGATGGTAGTGACACAATGGTTGTGAAAGAAGAAGAAGAAGAAGAAGAAGAAGAAGAAGAAGAAGGAGAGAAGAAAAGACCGGGTCTTTGAAAGTTGGAGCACGATAAACGGGAGCTTTTTAATCTCGTATCCGTTGAAGACAATTTTGGAAGAGAACATGCTTCCTCTCATTCCTTTATCTCTTTCTCTCTCTCTCTGTCTCTCTCTCTCTCTCTCTCTGTCGATCGAAACTCGTGAAAACTGGAAATTTGATCGTAGACTTTCGTCGACGATTTTGAAGAGTTGGCAGAAGGAAAAGGAAAGTCCATTCGTCCGGCTGTTGGCGCGGTAGAGAAGTTCGAAGTGAACCCCATTACCGAGGAGATTATGGTAAAGCGAGTAGCAATGGCAGAGGTAGGGCAAGAAGGGCAGGGCGATGCTGTAATTAGGGCGTTACAAGAGGGAGAACCGATGGCTTGCCTGAGGACACGCAAGTAAGTCGAAGTAGTAGTAGTAGTAGTAATAGTAGTATTAGTAGAAGAGCGAGTCTTTCGAGCGAGTCCTCGGAGCGAGTTTACACAAGCCGAAGGGGAGAAATAGAGAAACGATTTTCCATGGGTGCGCCTCGTTCGGAAACCCACCAGGAGAAAGCCGATATTTCGACGCGTGTTTGGGTAAACGTTCCTAGTATGTACATTTACCCACAACCTTCCGTCTCTAGATACCTAGCCACCTAACGCCTATGTATATACAAACCCATGGATATAGGTATAGAAGTAGTGACTACATAATAGAGGCGTATAAGTGGGAAGAAGGGAGGTATACGCGTAGTCAGTCAGTCAGTCAGAGATCCTTTTTCGACCGGGGGTGCATGCGTAATGAGGAAGGCGCGCCATTCCAAGCTCCCCTTTTTCGCATATCATCCCTCTTTCTCTTCCTCACTATCTCGAAATCCCTCCTAGGGAGAACGTTCGTACACACCCCTCTCAAAAATATTCTCTCTCTTTCTCTATTTCCTTGGTTGGAAAAGCGTATCACACTGCTTTTCGCGAACGTCCAACTTCATGGATTACTCCTACGTAAAGTGCTCTACGTCTTACCATCATCCTCGATTAGACTTCTCGATAAGAAAGAGGGACCTGTAGAAAGAAGGAAAGCTGCTGCTACGTGTATCGTTTCTCTTTGAGAGAAAGGATAGTTAAACCCCTCATTATTATGCGCTCGACATTCTGCCAAAGTCAATCTCTCGTTCAGCCATTTGATTGTTCGGTTGTTCACTTTCGTATTTCCCTTTGTTTGGACAAACTGTCAGCGAGTCGCTAGTATCCCAGAGTAAATATAGAAGTGCAAATAACGATGCGTCGAACCAGCCACGATCATGACACGCTCGAAAAAAGCGATTTTGTTAGCTCGGCTTTAGTTGGAATAACGAATAAAAAAGATTGAGGGGCCGGTCTCGTGTCCTGCTGCCCGTCCTGCTGCCCGTCCTGTTGCCCTTCCTGCTTCGAGAAAGAGTTTGTGGCTTGCCCGAACAAATACCTAATTATCGATAAGATCTAATAGAGACGTAAAGAAGAAGATTTACAGCTCAAGAGCTCTTCTCTTATCTTTGGAAATTATAGATAGATAGATAGATAGATAGAGAAAGAGAAAGAAAGAGAGAAATAATAATAAGAAAAATAGATCTATCGAGCCAGGTTCTTTTCCAAGGTTGGCCTTGGTGCAGGTAGGACGTACGGTCGATAAAACAATTGCCGAGGGGATAATCGGCATTATTTACGCCGGATTCACTCGAAGATAGGATGGGGGCAGCAGCTGGGTGTTTGCGGCACGAAGAGAGAGGGTGGCGCGGATAGAGAAGATTTCTCCTCGGCAGTTATAAGCCTAGGGTGATCTCCTACAGTGGGTCCGTCGGCTTAAGCTTTATCCCATTCATCCTCTCTCTCTCTCTCTGCTTTACTATATCTACCACCTCCCCCCTCTAAAGTGGCCTCAATTAGATATGTCAGTGGATTTCGATGTCAAGCAACTAGCCCGGATCTCGATCCCTCCCTTGGGAGAGATCCTTACCCCTTGTACCCCCTGCTTTTTTCTTTCCTTCGTCTAGGTTCTGTGGAGAAAAGCCTCTTAATTAATAGCACCCTCTATTTTTATTATCACGGCAAATTGCGTGTTCGTGGTTATTCATTTTTGGTACATTCTCCTTGATTATTTCATTTTGACCGAGAATCGAGCGAGCAGCTTGCCTTCCATGAGTTGGGTAGAATGCGCAGCCGTTTGCTCTCCTCTTCTCTTCTCTTCTCTTCTCTTCTCTTCTCTTCTCTTCTCTCCTTTCCTCCCCTCGTTCCTCCTTTCCGTTAATTATGCTATTACTCAAAAACACTCTTCCTCGTTTCTCGAAGCAATATTTGAGCGCGAATTATGCCGATGTTCTTTTC